ATATCGGGATTAGGGGTTGGTCAATGAAGGTAGGTTTTTATTATAGCAGACCCTCCTTTGTCAAAGGAAGAAAGAAATCCACAAGCCCATAAATTTGAAAACTTGACGATAAATATCATGAAAGGTTTTTGGTAATTTTAGGAGGGGGGGATCATTAAGGAGAAATAATGAAAATGCGATGGGAAGTAACATACCTTCAAGGGTTCACCTGTCTTTGCTTTATTTATACCCCTTACTCCATATTGTGGTGTTTGTCATCATACTCAAGGTCAATAAACAAGTGAAGGGGGTTTATAATGTAAGGTAATCGCGATAATGACAAATTCAGAAGATCACCTTCTGTCTTCCTACCCCTTCAGAACGAATATTTACAAAGTAAGTGCGAAGGCGGTATAAAATTCAAACTCCCAAGTCGTCAGTAGGTGTTAAACGCATTTAACCTAACGAGCCAGGCGGTGAATGCGGGACTCTTCCAGAATTAAACAATATTTGATATCGAAATCGGTCGGATGCCGCTCGAGGTCCGTGCGCACTTCGGTCGCGCGTTTTTTACTTTTCAAAATCCCCTTTAGCCCCCCTTTTTTTGCTTACTCTGGGAAGAGAATAATTTGAAATAAATAAAACCCTCGTCGAGGATGCTCTCCAGGGAAAGCATCCGCACAGTTCGTAAGGTGCAGTTTGAAATTGTCTTTTTAATATTATTTTCTCTTCTTTTTCCCCCTAAAATAAGGACGCATGGCGTGATCAAAAATGGTGAAAATGGCCACAATCGAATGAACCCCCAAATGCCTTCCGAGAACCTTGCCAATATTTAGAGAGTGTTGACAAAGGGTTATAAAGAGTGAATTAGACTCCTTTCAATCTTATTCGGAGTGCTTGGTTGGTAGCGCGCTGGATAATAGAGATGATTCCTATTCATCACAATTTTCGATAATTCAATTGCTAATCTATTTTTCTATTGAAGAAAACGTTAGCCACACACACAGAAAATGCAGGTATGGCAAAATAATGAAGAAAAAAAAACATTCATGCATTTTGGATCATAAAAGATGATCGTGGCCATGTAGTAGCGCTAAACATAAAAATAGTTTGATCAATTACTTAAATTGGCAAAGACAACGATGAAAAAACGTGGCGGTGTGGGTGTTTAGTTTTTTGCGTCATCATTACAATTTGGTGTCATTTCCTTAATTTTGTCCATATCGTCATATTTTTTCCTTATTCCAAGTTTATAGATATTATGAATAGTAATAATAATAATGATAATAATAATAAGATAATTAGCCGTAACGCCCCTTATGCCTCTAGCTCTCCTGGATATATTTTTGAATCATCTCGGGCTGCAATTGCGCGAAATCAGAGTCGTTCGCCAGCCTGTTGAGCACTTTTCGATATCCATCCTCGTCCTGAGTTCGTAAAAAAGAACGAACGGCCTGGGATTGAAGAACAACCCCTAAAAATTCCCGACAGGAATTCATTTCGACATCGCGCAAGGCATGTTGGACAAGAAAGCCGCGCAGCCCCTCCCCTGCCCCCCCGTCGACAAAGCCAGCCTTACACGCCCAATAGAGCGAATTCCACAAATCTGTCAACGATTCCTCTAAATGAATTTCCCCATTATTTTCCGCCTCCTCCGCCTTTTTCTCAATTTCGTTTTTTTCGCCTGTTGGGGCTTCATTGAAATTGCGGCGATGCCGATCCGCCGCGGCGGGGTTGGCGGTTAAGAATCGATCGGCAACCCCGACGACGCGATCGAAAAACTCCGCGGAAAGGCCCGGCGGGGTGCGTAGAAAACACTCCAGCGACGCGATAAAAAACCCCAAGAGCGTCCGGGCCTCCGCCAAAGTCCCCATCACGCCCTTAGCGAGGTCGTCCAAAAGCAAAAAAAGGGCCTCGCGAACGTCCAACGTGCGCGCAGCCGAAGTTTCCCACATCCACCCCCGCAAACCCCCCGCGAGGGGCCGCAAGGCCGCTGCCAAAACCCCTCTTTCCTCGGACGGCAGTTTAAAATATTCGAAAATCACCTCGCGGCATCGCCGAATTAGCTCTAGGGCGATTTGGTTTTGATTCTCCCCCGCCTGGCGGATGATACGGGCGTGAAGGTCGAGCAAGCGCCGAGGTTCCCGCGAGGATTCGGGCGAAGCAGCCCATTCCGCGGGGAAAAACACTTCGAGAAGGCAGTCCACCGCGTCGGGGATCGTCAAAAGGTGAAGTCGGCGCTGCAAAAAGCTCGTGAGCGCCCCCAGCAACGCCCAATTTACTGTTGGGATGTTGTCATCAAGTTGAAAAACCCGGCGCGCAAGGCGTCGAGCGAGGTTGACAACCTCCTCGTTCGCGTCCGGCGGGAAATACGCGGTGATCTCGACCAAAATCGCCGTCAACTCATCCGCGGGGGATTCCCGGCGGCGAAGAAGCCCCACCACGGCGTCGACGACGGGGGGGGCATCAAAAAGATACTCCCCGCACTCCTCTGAGGCCCGGAGGGAGTCGAGGAGGCAATGGTAAAGCGCGGCCTCGAAATTGGACCAATCGACAGAATTGGGCGACTCCAGCGTGGTGGCGGCGTAATTGAGGCCCATTCGAAGGATTTCAATCCACTCCAACGTGATGGCCGGGGGGAAGTGCCGCACGAGTCCGCCCATCACGCGAAGCGACCCGACCACGAGTGTGTGATTCGCGGCGGCCTCGGCGGTTTTCCCCCCCCCGCCAAGGTGAAAAACTCCGTGATGAATTCAAAATCCAACGCCATTGTCAACACATAAGGATAAATCCCGGCCAGCGTGATGAGCACCGCGACCCCGGCCTCGACCAAATCGCTATGTTGCTTGCCATGCGAAATAATCGTCCCGATTGCCCCTACCATCGACTCCGCCACCTCGGCGCGGAAAAACTTCTCGTTGGCCTTCGCGACGAGCAGCATAAATCGAAGGCCGCGCTCGCAGGCCTGTGCGGCGGATTTCTCGTTCGGGCGAAAATGCGGCCCTTTGAAGCCCGCCTCACCCACTTCTTCCAAAATCCCCGCGAGGCGGTGAAGGGCGGAGGAGATCACCGCGAACAACCCCGACGTGCCGTCCAAGACCCCCGCGCGGACGCCCGCGGGCTGGGCGGCGATCCACAACACCCCATCGAGGATCCCGGCGGCGTGTGGAAGGTCCCCGCTTTTCCACAACAACTTTTCCAAAACCCCGCCGGTGCGCAGAAGCCCCCCGTGCGCGATGTATTCTTCGGTCCAAAAAAATGGAAAGGGCTCCGACAGGAAAGACGGGGGGGGCAAAAGTTTCGAATCGGTCGAGGAATCGCGATTCAGCGAAAGACACCCCGACCACACAAACAACGCCTCCGAGGTCAGCGCGTCGTCGTAATTGCTGTGGATGAGATCGCAAAGAAAGGGCAAAACGCCCGGGATGGCCATCATGAAGGCGGCGGCCCCCCCGCGGAAGCCCTTTTCCGTCCCTCGCATCTCCCAAAGCAGTTCGCTGAGGATTCGCACCACGACGCGGCGGTCCTCCTTCTTGACCTTGGCGATCACGCGGGCGTTGACGTCGTTAATGGAGTCCTGCGCGTAGTCCTCGCGGAGGGGCGGCATGTGGAGCCGATTCCACGCCGCCTCGACGGCCTGGCTGTTCGCGAGGAGGGAGTCCACGAAGGCGGCGAAATCCCCCTCCCCCGCGGCGGCCGCCGCGAGCTTGGCCTCGATGAGGCGGCGGTGCAGCAGCCGCCGCGCGCGCGCCGCGAGGTCGCCCGCGGCGATCCAGCGAACTCCCACCAAGAGCAGCGAGAAGTTAAACCACACCCCCCGCTCGGCCGGCGTCTGGCGGCCCTGGCGGTCGACCTTGCAGGGCTCGGCCTGTAGGATGCGCGCGATCGCCCCGACGACGGCCTCGTCGAGCAGCGAGAAGGACTGCGCGGGGTTCCGCACGCGGAGGATCAGCCCGAACCGCAGCACGTACAGGACGTTCCGCAGCACCACCCCCCCCCGTCCGCCGCCGGGCCGTCGACGAGGTCGGCCGCCTGGCGGAAGACCTCCTCGGGGAAGAGGCGGTCCGTCAGGCGGGCGC